TATGCTTGTTTGATTTTGAGAAGATGCAAGTGGCATTCATTAAGATAACGAGAGGTTGGTGATACAAAAAGTATCGAACAGAAAACTTTGAGGCATCTGACCTAAAAATGATTCATGAAACTACTGTAGAAGGTGAGACAAGGAGCAAATAGTATGATTTACTCAGTACACTGCTAAAGTATAGAGATTGACGAGGACAGGAAGGAAGAGGAAGAAGCAAGAAATGAGGCCTTGAAATTCATGATCCAACTGTACAAGATGTTTTCAATGAGCCTAAATTCCTACAACTAAAGAGGGAGTAGGATCACTCCATTCCCTTGATTCCGAGAGCTACACCAATGAATATAAAGACATATAGATACCCTTAAATAGAGAAATAGATAGCACAAGTGCTAGATAACTTAGTCATTCAACCTACCCACAACCCTTTTGCCTCACCTGTATTGCTTGTCAAAAAAAAGATAGAAGCTAGAGGTTTTATATGAACTATAGACAGTTTAAACAATCATAGACAAATTTACAATACTAGTGATTGACGATTTGTTGGACAAAGGACATGGGGCATTCATCTTCTCTAAGGTAGATCTAAAGATAAGGTACAACCAGATCTAAGTCAAGCCTAAAGACATTCACAAAATGACACTTAGGATGCACCATGAGCATTCTGAATTAAAGGTTATGCATCAGAAGTGCACCTAGAACTTTCTAATAGTTTAAGGATCATGTTTATGAATCCTACTTGAGGAAATCTGTACTAATATTCTTTGGTAACATATTAGTGTATAGCCAAACAATGTGCCACTTAGAACACTTGGAAAAGATGTTTGAGATCTTAAGGTAGCACAATTGTTTACAAGAGAGTTCAAATGTTGTTTTGTGCACTTGATCGCGAGAGAAAGTTGCAGAATGAAGCTACCAAGATGGAGGCAATGTGTCTACACCGAGACAAACAAGCATCAAAGCCTTGAAATGATTTTTGCAGCTCACAGATACTATAGAAATTTTTTTAAAGATTGAGTATAGATCAATCCTTAGCATAATTGTTGTAGAAAATGTCTTTTAATGGAATCAAGCAACAAAATGTCATTTGCAAACTTGAAAGAAGCATGATCACAACCCTTAATTAGCACTCCTAGATTTCTCTCAGCCATTTATTTGAGATGTTGATCCATGTAAAAAGGGAATGGGGAAGACTAATAGCTTTCCTCAGCAAAACCTTGAATCCTAAACATCAGTAATGTGAAACCCAGGATCAATCAATGTGATCAAAAACCCATACATACAATTTAATATGCAAAACTTAATCTTTAAAGAAACTATCCCTACTTAACCCACAATAAACCTATAATTGTAATTTAAGGTATTAGGAAAAAATAATAAGAATTGATAAAATGTTAGAAGAGTCACCTTAATAACTAGAATCAATTTTTCACTCAACAAGAAAGTTGAAGAAACCTCTCAAAGAGCACTCAAAAAGTCGAAGCAATAAGTTTGAAAAGTTATAATTTTATTGATGAAAAACTTGAATTGATGTGATTACAACCAACGTAATGAGGCCTTTATATCATCATATACCTTACTAATTTTACTAGAAACTGAGAACTAAATCCTAGGAATACTTATCTTCAAACTCCATCTAGGACTCTAATAAAAAAAATTAAATCAAAGACTCATAAACATAAATAGATTAAAACTCTTCTCTCTTGAATAGTGTAGGATTCCTTCAAGCATTGTGCCGATTGAAGCTTGTCTTGTCTTGATCGGATTTGAACTTTATTATTTAATGAATTTTTGATGTAGAAGTTGTGTTGAAGATGAGATAATTCCCAGTCATGTTTGAGTAAAAAATGACTCCTTTTCCATGTGGGAATCGGTCAAGAGTGGGAATCTTATTCTCTTTGAGTTTTCACAAGTCAAACATGGTTCCAACACCATTTAAATATAATTTTATGATGAGGAAAAACCAAATAGGACTCTTTAAGCTAGATTTCAAATTTCTAAAGGAATTTTAGCTACCATTCCTACTTGAAGGAGGATCCTTAACCCGATTGGATGATGGAAAAGATGGGAGAAAATTCTGTGGAGAAGTAGAATGTCTCTTGAGTATTTCTCTTGGCCATGTATCTTATATGGCTTGGCATGCCTAACTTCCTCTTGACCGG